GTGTGATGTTAAATTAAATGCTGAATGGCGGTTCATGCAGGGAAAGAACATATCAATATTCGCATATTCATTAAAAAACATGAAAATTCTTAATGGAGTACCCCCATTTCTTATTGAATTCCTAAAAAACAATATTTATAATGAATTTTAATAATTTTTTCGGATTTTTTTTAAGCTTTATTCTGACCGATTCACCCGATTCTCGATCCGGATTGCCGATTCACCGATCCGGATGGGTTTTTTGAAAACCCAATCTGAATCACCGATCCATTTTTTAAACCATTGGTTCAAACACTACTTTCATAGATCTCATGCACCCTCTCTGTCGCTCACTTTAATTACAGAATCGCAGTCGTTCAACCTTTCATGAATCTTGTGAATAAGCATCACCTGTTTGCTATAATCAATTTAATCGTTCTGGCATTCAGACAATCTTTCCGTTTTCTTGATCTAGGTCGTTGAAACACTCTTTTCACGCTTGCATGTATATTCTTATTCAGAACCAGATACCCGTCTCCCAATGCGTTCTGCGATTCCCTCACTCTCATACTCTTATAAAAACCTATGCATCCTCCCTCTCACATACCATATAATCTTTAAAAGCAAAAGATGTTCATCTTTTCAAATCAATGGTCACATTAAAATCATTTTCTTTCTTTTCTTTTTTTTTTAAGGTAATTAAAGCCCCAATCCATTTTTTCTTAAAATATTAGTGGGATGGTATCAATGAAAATGAAAACCACAACTGGTGACTAGAATATAGGGTGCAGCCACCACTACCACAGCCGTTTTCCCAAATCCTCCCTTTCTCTCTCTCTATCAGTGGATTAACCCAGCTCTTTTCCCAAATCCTCCCTTTCTCTCTCTCTATCAGTGGATTAAAAGATGAAGTCTTTTTTCAGGATGTTTCAGCTGTAGGAGTCAAACTTAGGACAGCTTAACTAATCAAGCCCTAGCCGGTATTCATGAACTCTCTTTCTCTCTCTCTCTCTCTCTCTGAAAAAGTTTATATAGAGCCAAGGCTCTAAACAATCAAATTTGGACCTACCTCAAAAATTTCACTAGAAAAAGTTGTTTTGATGCTCAAATATCTTCAAATTGATCATCTTGACATAAAGATGCATAGACATGAAAAAAAAAATAGATCACAAGTTTTGGAAATAAAAGTGTATTTTGTAATGCAGTTTTTTATCGTCAATTTTCAAGATTTTCATGTTTTTATAGATATGTCGATCTACACTATTGTTTAAGCTTTACACTTTATAAATAAATACAAAATATATTTTAAAGCTATCACAAAGATTTATTGAAACCACATTTCTCAACACTATTTTAGAGCCTAACCTCTAATTTGATTGTTCAGAGCCTAGGCACTATACAAACCACACCCTTATTCAATACTCAACAAAAAGGACACCATAAAAGATTTTAAATAAAAAACGAGTTCACATTATTCATAGTCTACAATCCAAAAAAAATTCAACAAAAAAAGAGAAAATATATATACCAGCAGAGTATATGATATTTCCAACTATTCAACGGAGCGCACTAGTTTTGGCCACCCGCGATTTCTGGTAGGTAAATACACCCTCACTTCTTTGACTCCATCCCAAAATATTTCTATTTTGCTACAAAAGTAAGAGGTGGCGCTAATAGATAGACAAACGCGTAATTGGTTTTGAGTTCAACACTCCATTGTATTCTTCGAGTGTATTTGTTTGGTATACCAGACCGCACCTCAGCCCTACCAGTCATCCACTCAAATGCGTACAAAACAAAGCAATTGTAGTGGGTGGGAGGGCAGAATAGTCTTTTCCTCACCGTACTCTCAGAAAAGGATGGTTCGTTTAGGTGAGGAGATGAGGAATTTTTTTTGTCACTGTTTCTCTAAGAAAAAAAAAAGAGGAGATTAAGAATTTTACACACCATTCCAAGGCCCTAATTTTGGAATTTTCGATTGATTTTTTTAGTAGATGAACAAAGAGAGAGAAAACCCTTCCACTAAAATAAATAAGAGAATTAAAACCTGGAAACATGATAATCACAACCACTTAGAACGTCCATGGAGAGATTGGGA